AAGCGTCGATAAGAAAGACGTGATGGCAGGACTAACTCCGCCCACCCGACCACGGGACCTGTTTCCTTGAGCATCCATTACGTGATTGAGGCATTTTATAAAAGCGGCGGGGTTCATGAATGGCACAGGTCGTACCACTTATCAGGAAACTTTTGTGCTCAACAGTGAATAATGGAGAGAACAATTTCCATTACTAAAACTCCGCACTTTTGATCTGCATTATTCTGTCAACACTTTTTTTCAAGTAGGTCATTAGGTATTTTTTTCGAGTGGGTCAACATCTTTGCACCATTGAGATTCCCTTCACCCAGACTCAAACACCATGTACGAAACGAAAGGTGGATGATATCATTTCATTGTGAGATGTGAACTTTTATCACTTCGCCACGGCCAAGTAGGTCACTGGGCTATACGACCAAACCAGGCTACCTATACGATCCGCAACACCTTCACTTTCACCTTAGTTCAACCGAAAGAAATACATTGACAAAAGGCATCTTAGGCACGATCTGATATCACTCTGAGAATTTTGGTATTTAAAATAATATGCAATGATATTTATAGGTTCCCGAGCCCTTAATTTCGGACCTATCATAATTGTTGATATCTCTTCTTAGCTGTACTAGAGGATATTCTGATGAAAAGATAAAGAGTCACCAGAAGTTGAGCGAAAATGAGCTTTCATTGGAGAAGCGCCTACTATACCACTGCAACTCGAACTGCACAAATTTGCTGTGAGTTCTGAAGAACGCTACCATTTACAAGGCTGAGACTGCTTTAGCCCGGTCAGGGAAAAATGTTCTGATTAGCTGAATTTCCCTCTATATGCGGCCCTCATGTACATATCTCTCCATTTGACCCAATGTTTCTCATAAATGACCTATTGCATCAGAATTGCCTACCAGGCAGGGCACGCCATCGTCGTGATCACATCGCCTAGGGGACGTATTTGACCGCGAGGGAGAGGGGGGGGGTATATGGTCTGAGAAAATTTTTTTGATAGTTGATTTCTTTTGTTTCACGGACGCTATAAAGGAGGCGTGCCTACTTGCTCGTTGTTGGGAGGGAGGGCGGGGAGGGGGGGGGGTCATAGCGTTGAGAAAAAACTTTTTCCGGTTGTTGGCCTTTTGCGGTTTTTCCCGTTTCACCTTGGGGAAAACTAGAAATTTTTTCGGGGTGGTAGAAAGTTGGGAAAATCTAGGAAAGTGGTAGGTAGGATAGGGAAGGGGGGGGCGTATCAGAGGATGGAATTAGGGGGTCGTATTTTGCAGGAATTTGTCACAACGCGATGGCGAGCCCCACTACCAGGATTGAGCAAGGTAATCAAATGAGTGGACATACCCCTTTACCAGGGCTAACTATGAATGCCTTACAGCTATCCCTTTCGAAGCCAAGGATGTGACAGTCCGATAGCACCCTGTGAAAAGAGGTTACGGTTACTATATTCGCGTATCGGTGACTCACAGTACACCAGTTAGCTAATATTTGAAGGCTAGTTGGCTTCACACACTGCATTAATTATGTGTTAAGCGCGAAGTAATGAAAATGCATTTCAAATAATATTTAATTAAAATATACTTTCTGCTGAAAAAGGCTCCGAACAAAACCTAATTCACTTTTTTGCAGCCTCTGAGGCTGGCCAAAGGGAAGTCTGCAAAAGTCATTTAACTCTTTAGGGAGAAAAATGGTCAGAAGTCGTCACGTCCTCACGAACCAGGGATACGTGAGGGTAACTTGTGATTATTTTTCTTGTAAAATTTATTTCATTCGTAAAATAATAAAATTTCGTTGCATGTTAATTCCATGTCGTTTTGGTTTCGGTCATGGTGCGAATGTCGCGCATGCGACGTCGCTCGTCAACACCTTAGCCGTTACATGGGTGTAATGCTGTATATCTGGATCACATACACCACTGGAAGAAGCGTCAAGGCAGCAGTGTAACTTAAACGTGTCAAGAGATTTTGTAATCCGAACCGAGAGAGATCAATTAGTCGAAGAAAATCAGCGGTAGTAAGAAAAAGACGGGTCGACTCCTTGCAGAAACGCGTCTCAAACACTTGAGGAAAAACCAACAAGCATGGCAAATATTGTGGGTAACATAGAAAAAGCAATCAAAAAGAGGAAAGCGCCAAACTATAATTCATCCATAGGGGATAGCCGGAGTATGTTGTTCTCCCGGGTCAAGGACGTCGGGCGCCAATTGTGAGGCTCTTTCCTCGTGAGCCGTAGCAAGAAAGCTAAGAAAAAAAATCAAGAGATACCTCACCCTTTCCATCACCGAAGCCGCTATCAGCCGGATTTCCTGGGACACAGTTCACTGTTGTACCGATTTCCAGCGTGTACAGGCCATCATTGCATATGCAGATAGTACCGTTACAGTGCGAATCCAAAAGGCACTCTTGCCCATTTGCACACAGACCTCCTTAAAGATGGCAGCAGTTCATTCTGACCATGAGATGTCCAGCTTCTCTCTTCATAAAACCTCTGTGAACTTTCAAGTTGTAATGTATTCTGCCAAAGAGGTTGGTAGGTGGAAGACTTTATTGAACTTGGCCTGACGTTTCGACGGGATCGTCGTCCTCAGAGGCCTAAACATAGCTCAAGGTTTGTTGCACCCTCTACACCGCTAAACGATCCCGTCGAAACGTCAGGCCAATTTCAATAAAGTCTTCCACCTACCATCCTCTTTGGCAGTATACATTACAACTTTCTAACCATAGGGATTTAGGTTATTTATTGCCTCGATTTACTAACTGGTAAATTTCATTCATAAACGATTTCTTTGTTTTAAATAAATGCTCTAACAGAGTATGGCAAAGTTTGACAAAAGGAGATATACTCCTGTTTCCTGCGGAGATAGGGCGTGTCAGGGGGATGGGTTTGGCGCAACTCCACCCCATTTCTTTTCTTATTTTCGGCAACGACAATGCTGTGGAATATCGCTCATGTCAGTCGTTTTCCTCCAATTGTTGTCTCTTTTTCGCTCCAATAACTTGTGGAAAACGGACTGGCCCGTGCCAACCCCACCCTTACCGTCACGCCTCTTCATGCGCAGTGGAGAAGAGGGCGTAAAAGGCGTGTACACAAGAGGCGGTCCGCAATGGCAACGAAACTTACCAGGGAAAGCAACGCGATCTTCGCTAAGGATTCCGCTACCGCCGTCCATACCAGCTCTTGGCTTCGGAATCTCTTCACTAAATTGATTAAAATTAAAAGAGAGCAAATTTTACAGTACTTTTATTGAAACTGTAAATGAAAGTAACCTGCTAAAAATAAGAAAGCCTTTATTCTGTACTCACGCTGTGAAAGCACTGCCATCACCATCCCAGCCTAGAACGGTCTGGTCAACCTCATTGGTGTTCCTTAGCCAGTTAGCCAGTGGCTCGTAGTACTCCTAGTAGAGGTGAAGCATCAAGCTGCTCTGTAAGAAAGAATTTTAGACTGGAGTAATGACTACGTACCCTTACTTAGCCTTGTATCATAAGAAATGACCCACTGGATCCAGTGAGCTGTTCCAGTGCTTGTAACCAAGTGATAGACGATCCCTTCTTCATAACCTCACGAAGCTTCTCTGTGGTGACTTCAGAGAGAATACATCCTTCGCTCTAAAATCATTTTTCACACCGTGGACTACAAGGGTGGTTTTTTTGATCAATTTGAAGTCAATCACTTACCAGTACTGTTCCAGCAGGGCACATTGACTTCAGAATTTGGAACTGTACCACATAACTAATCAGTGACTTAATGGCAGGTGAGTGAACCTGAAAATGTTATAATCCCTCTCAGATAGGTGAGTAGTTGCACAGTGTATGAACCGAGTCATGCAGTACTTTAGACCTCTACTTTCCCAAAACGTACCTGGGAAATAGCCGTATGCATGAGAGCGTCGAGATTGGACGAGTTGTAAGGCTGTGGTGCTCGGACTCCTTCATATTTCGTGCTGAAAAAGGCATTCT